GTTTCTGTTGTTACCAGGGGTAAAAGACTGGATTAGAAACAACAGGCCCTGAGCAACTCAGAATGTAAGATGGGGGAAATTTACAAAGTATAATCATTCTTGAGGTTGTTGATAAATATCAGGATTAAGAATAAAAGATCTGGAAAAGATACACACACAGATGTGCAGTGATATGGACAGCTGGGAGAGAGGGAGCTCAGACTATCTGGGGAAACTGACTCTCAACGGATGGGATGAAGGATGCTCCAAGGAAAGTTGATAGTTTTAGCCTTTGTGTTCAATTGAGTTTCCCAAAGTCTACTGAATGACCAGAAATCTATTAAAATCAGCAAAAACTCCGCTGCTACATTTGAGGACAAGACAGTGTAGTCAATAGAGCAGAACTGATAAGGAATTTTTGATGATATGAACCAGATGGAATCACACTGTATGAAAAGCCCTTCAGGACCCACAACTCCCTGCAGGCAAAAGGAGGCTTTCTTTGGAAAACAGAGGAATCATCCTGTCTAGGAGAACAGCAGAAACCTGGGCACAGAATAGGAAGGTCAGGGGCAAGGCTGAGCCCTGAGAGGATGTCAGAATCATGCACAGAGATCCAGGTTCCACTCTGAGACAAGGCTTCAATTAAGCTGGTTAAAACCTTACGCTCTGCCTTCAGAAGGACAAAGGTTCAAGTCCTGACTGCAGCCCATAAGCTGCATGACCTTGGGTTAGTCGTCCATCTGTCACCTTACTGACTCCGAGTCTCACTGTGCCCATCTATAAAAGCACAATGACAGAACCTACTCCACAAAGCTGGGGTGCAAAATCACACATCCCCATCCTGTTGGACACTGCTCTGGTGTGGAGAACACAGCAGTGACCAGAGCAGACAACCTCCCTGCCTTCATGGACCTTGCATTCTGAGAAGAGAAAGGCAGGTAATAGATACATGTACGTCAGGATGCCTCTCATGGGGAGTTCCTTCAGAGGGTGGGTGGTGTTTTATACAGAGTTTCAGGAAGGCTTCTCCACTGAGTTGATATTTGAATAGAGACCCTAGGGGGTGAGTAATAAGCCACAGACATAGCCTGGGGAGGACGGTCCAGGCATATAAGACAACAAAAGCCCTACCAGAACATGCTTGGTATGTTTCCGGACTAGCAAGGAAGACAGAATGATGGGAGGGGAACGAGAAAGGGGGACAGTGGTAAAAATGATGTCAAAGAGGTCATGGGGGCTAGATCGTTATAGGGCTGCGCTGTCCAATATGGTAACCAATAGCCAAATGTGACTATTAAGCTCTTGAACTGTGGTTCTGAAATGAGACGTGCAGGAAGCCTAACATACACACTGGATTTTGAAGGCTTAGCAGAACAATAAGCATTAAAATACTTCATTAATAACTTTTAAACTGGTTATATGTTTAAATGATAATATTTTGATATATTGGGTTAAATAAGCCATATTATGAAAATTGGTTTCACCTGTTTGCTTTTACGTCTTTCATGTGGTTACTGGAAAATTTGAATTACATGTGGCTTGCATGATACAAGGCATTAGAGGCCACAGTAATGAGCATGGCATTTATGCTGAGCAGTGTGGGAAGTAAACAGAAATGCACACAAAGTGCTTAGCATGTTTCCCAGAACAGAGTGGAAAATGTTTATGCAACTAGAATTCCATTCACAGACAAACTACTCAAATGTAAAGGCAAATATATTTAGGGGGGAAGACACTGGATTCAAGAAAAAGTAATAACAGAACTAATAAAAGTTAAGTTTAAATAATTGTTTAGAATGTAGTGATGACATATAATGAAACTGGCAAGTAGCGATTATTGAAATATGAAACATAAAGTTAAATAAAAAAGAATCTGACAAAAAAGAATGACAGATAAAATTGGATCCATTCCTAAATTCCAAATGGATCAGAGAAAAACAGGCAAAAAAAGAAGGAAACCATATAAGTATTTCACTGTAGCCATCCTGGTAGATGTGAACTGGTTTTCTGCTTCTAACCTCCATTTCCACGACACCAATGAGATTAAATACTTTTCATGTGCTGACTGGCTATTTGTATGTCTTCTCTGGTGAAGCACACGTTTAAGACTTCTGCCTATTTTTTTGTAGTGTTGCCTTATTTTTTTTCATTGATTTGTAGGTGTTCACAAATGCTAGGCAAGAATCCTTCATCAAATATACACGTGGCTGGTACACTCTCCCCATAGGTGGCTTCCCTTTTCATTCTTGTACTGAAATCTTTAATCAGAATAGACCTTCTAAATTTTAATGTAATCCCAAGTTTTCAATTTTTCCTTTAATGGCTCATACATTACATGTCTTCTCTAAAAATCTTTGCTTGCCCTGACCTTATGTAGATAAGCTAATTTTAGGAAGTTGTACTTTTACCTTTCTTACTTAAGTGTATGAACCTTCTCTAATTAATTTGTGTGTGTGGTGTGAAGTCCAGGTTATGGATCATTGTTTTTCACGCGGAGATCCTACAGACCCATCACTGTATACTAAAAATATAATCCTTTCTTCACTGCGCTGCAATGTCACTTTTGTCATAAAATCAAGTGACAATACATATGTAGATATGTTTGGGGCTCTTTATTATGCTCCTTTGGTTTATTTGTCTATTCTTGTGCTGATACCATTACTTACTATACAGCTTAATTACTATGGCTTTAATATAAATCTTGGGAATTGGTATATAAATTCTTCACTTTCTTCTTTTCCTTCAAGATCATCTTGGCCCTCCGCAAGGCCAAGATAATCTTATTATCTTACATACACATTTTAGAATTGGTTTGCCAGTTTCTCTGCCTCTCTCTCCCTTTCTCTCTTTCTCTCTCTCACACACAAATACACAGCTGCTGAACAAAACTGGCAACAAAATAAATAACAATACGATTACAAACTTAAAAGAAATTAAATCTTCATGCATCCATACTGATATAAAGAAATTAGTGAATAAGTCAATGAGGAGAGGGGTCCAGCTCTTCCTTACAGAAGAATTTCAAGTAGTAAATGGAGGTGGATTGAGGAAAACAGAAAATCACCATCGGTTCACCATAGTAATAAATGCTGCAAGCAAAATCCACGGATGAATGCTAAAATGAGTAGACGGAAGTTCAAGGAAAAACAGGCTATTTGCACAGGCTTGATGTATCTCCCCTGAAATACCTGTTAATTACTGTGGTGGTCTCCGTATGTGTCCACAACGTCTCTGAGAACCCTCCCTGAATTCAGGAGGTGCAGCTCCACTCTCCTTCCCTTGAGTGTGACCTGGACTTAATGACTGGCTTCTAACAAATAAAGTATATGGAAAGGGAAAAATAGTGACTTTATACTGAAGGAACCTGGTAGACCCACCTTCACCAAGTGGTCACGGTCAACATCATAGCACGTCCGCTCCATGGGACGCCGCCATGAGAAAGGCATATCTCCTCTGTGTTGTTCTTCCCTCAAATCCATAACCTCATTTCTAATCATCAGAAAACCTCAGAGAAACCCAAATCAAGAGACATTGTAAAATATGCAGCTACTACTCTTTAAAAGTGTCAAGGCTGTATAGAAGCAGACAGACGGGGGCGCTGGCCCTGACTGGAGGAAACTAAGGAGACAAGGCCACAAAATGAGACGTGACAGCCTGGATGGGATCCTGCACCAGAAAAAGAACATTCGTGGAAAAACTGCTGAAATCGGATCCAGGTCTGGAGTGCGGTTAATGGTAATGTGCTGATGGTAACTTCTTAGCTTTGACAAATACACCATGGCTATGTGAGAAGTTAACCTTAGGAGAAGCTGGGCGAAGGGTAGACGGGAACTCTCTGTACCATCTTTCTAACTCTTCCGTAAAACTGAAATTGTTTCAAAATTAAAAGTATAACATGTTTTCTGGAAAGTTCTTCAGCAGTCTCTTCAGAGTGGTTATCAAGACAAATTTATACAAGCTGGTCCACTTTCTATTTTATACCTTTCTGAGTGCGATATTTTTCCCTTCTTTTCAAAAGAGGAGCATTGATAATGAAAAGTAATCCCATTTGGATTTTTAAAAAGCCACTCTGTGGGAACTAGCTATGGAGAAAAGCTGACTCAAAAGCTGACCCAAGAAGAGAGAATGCCTTTGCTTGGGAACAAAGCCCCGAGAACTTGGAGCATGTTTTCAGTCAATAAAGGTACTCCTTGGACCAGAGTTGTGTTTAGGGCTTGAGGGGACAACACAGAGAATGTGGTTACTCACCAGGGCGACTTTCCTTTGCGGCTTCAGCAGCTTCGGTTTATGGAATGGGGCAGCGATGGGAGCTGTGGAAGCACATCAAAGGTTTAGTTTGCAATTCCTCCCAGGACTCTTAAAACCTACATATCACGAGCACCACGGACAGAGAGCCTCGGACATAGGGCCACTTCCTGTCCTCGTGGAGGAACTCTAGTTTCTGATCCAGGTAACAGCTGGACTGGTGACCCTCGGGGGAGGGTGATCCTCTCCTAGCCTTTGGATACGTCATCCTTTCCTCTCAACAAGGTCAACAAAACCACAGCATAAAACACCGCCAGCTACAAAGAGGTCAGATGTGCAGGTGAGAACCAGGTGCACTTGGTAAAGGCTGAGGCTGGGACCTTCCCTGGGGCTTCCTCCTAGTTGCATGCTAACGCTGACAGTGGTAACCTTTGACCCTCACAGCTGCCCTGGGAGGTCAGCAGGGAGGGTCTTATTGTCCCCATCTAACAGAGGAGGAAACCGAGGCTCTTCTTCTAACATCATGTAACTACCTAGTATTTAGATGAATTGGGACTTGAACTCAAAGCCAGGCTCAACCACGTGGCTCTCTGAGTCTCATTTTCTTCTTTCGTAAAGTAGGGCACCATCTATGCTGACTCAATGAGGTGATACAGCAGTACAACGCCTGGCGCAGAGCAGGGACAGCTCCCTTCCCTCCCCAGATCCACAAGTGTCACGCCTCGCAGGACGCTCACGCCTCCCAGCCCCTTCTGTCCACCCAGTATACGTTCAGTCTCAGCACCACTGCCTTCCACCACAGGGCGCAAAGGGTGCCAAGGGGCCATCCTGGGAAGCCCAGTTGAGGGATAAAATGGATCCTGTCTTGTTCTTAAATTATTCACCTGGGCAACCCTTGTATTCCTAACTGTATATCAAATCCTTTGATGTAGGACCTTCTCCTAAATTGGCCACAGTTATTTTAGGAACGATTTATAAACGGTTTTACTTCTCAGTAAATGTCCATCTTCCTCATATATGTTGCTCTAAGTCGTAATTCGAATCAAGCAATAACCCTCATTTTAATCCCCAGAACAAATCCAAAATAAATTACACACCTGGTTTTTATCTTTGGGAAAATCATAGAGCCTTCTTTCCCTTGAATGAACCAAGAGAATGCTGACACCCCCTTGGTCCACCCTGCTATGTGCAGAGCATGTCAGTATTTCAAAGGGAAATACACTGTGGAATAGTCTGTAGAGGTTGACCCCCGCTAAAGCCATGCGCGGCCAATGGCAATGCCCCCAGCCCACCCCAGGGATGGGGCTCAGTTATGACCAGAATCTAGGTGGGGTTCTCCAGACCATAGAATCAGGGATGTCACATCCTCCACCTGCCTACTCTCCTGTCCTGATCTCACATCAGACCCCAGGTGCTCTCCACATGGATGACTGCTGGCTGGCTTCCTACCTTTGGCAGGGACTGCAGGAGGAACGTCAGCTTTTTCCTTCCGCCTCTTGCCCTTCTTGGGCTGCAGTGGGACCAAGCTGGTCACGCTGGTGACAGTCTCCCCTGAGCTGGAGAAGAAAAAGGTCCTGGTGAAGGCAAAGGCAGGCTTGTTCCAGGGACAGGAAAAGGAAGCAATAGTTTCCAGGTACCCCGTGTACCTGTGTGTAAGGTAGGGTACTCTTAGAGCCGGACTGGGATCACTCTGTGCCTGTCTCCAGGGATGTCTGGAGGTCTGGTACTGACCCTTGGCTAAGGGTGATGAGTTGAGCTAGTTAGGGATTTGTAACGTGCTGTGGAAAGTTCTAAAATCTCTGGAGAGACCTAGGGCCGGCTTGCCTACATTGTTTTGGGATGTATAGATTGTTTGTATAGATTGTTTACACCTGGTTAATGGGTTTACACAGTCTGGCTTGCTTACATCACCAGTAGGATATTAAGATATCATTAAAAACTTCTCCTTGAGCTTCCCTAAAACCAACGTTCCTTGCACACATCTTTGTGGTTCGCAATCCAGAGACAGAGCAGCACCTGTGCAAGTGAGAAGGGACCCTGGGGAGTTGCAGCTGGGAGTCCCTAGGGCCCCCCATGATTGTTCACACTTTCTCCTCCTGCTGTATGTACCTTCACCTTTAAGGTAAAGACTGAGTTAGCCCTCAGGAGTGTTGTGAGTGTTTTCAATTATCTGGGTGGTTACCTGTGTAATCACTGTAGTATCAGATTCTATGTGTTACCGTTATAACCCAAAGTAATAGGTAAGCCTTACATTACAGGTAACAAAACCAAGATTCAAAGATGCTAAGTGACTTGCTCTAAGTGACACTGTTTGTAAGCAGACAACACGAAAGCTGCAAACCCAGACTGGCCTGATGTGAAACCTGTTCTCCATGCTACCTGTGGGGTGGAGTCCAAGCACTTCCTTGAATGGCCATCGTCTTATTTCAAATGCATCCTATGGCTCCAGCAACCCAGAGGGCAGCCTCTTTTAGAATCTCTTGTCCTCAGGCACATATTCCAGCCAGGTAGGTACAGTTACCAAGAGAGGCTTGGTAACTCCCTTGATCTCCCTAATACAAAGGATTTCTAGAAATCCATAAGATATGACCTAATAGTCAAAATGAATGAAGGTGGTAAACAGTTTTCACACAAGAGGAAAGGCTCGTACCTAGGAAAACATGCTAAAACTTCCTCAAGAAAGAGAAAGCCAAATTAAAATGTACTGCGCTTTCTTTCTGCACATATCAGAATGGCAACAATCAAACTTAAGGCAAAGCGCTCTTCTGGCAAGGGTGTGAGGAATCAGGCACTCAGAAGTATTGCTGGTACAAGTGTAAACCCTTCCTGATGGAGAGTAATTCGGCAATCGGGATCACAGGCGCTATCAGAATTACAGAGGCTTATACTCTGTGACCCGGTAACTTCACTTCTGGGAATTTATTCTGTGGATATCCTTGCATGGGTATGAAATGTACATATAAGTCATTATAGTCCTGTTGGTAATAGCAATAGATTAGAAACAACCCAACTGTCCATCAGCGGGGGACTGGTTAAGGGAATTATGGTGAATCCACAAATCCACACACGGGGTCCTTTGTAACTGTAATGAGGAATGAGGAAGCTATTTATACAGGGATAAGAAAAGACACATTGTTAAGTGAAAAAGCTAGGTGTTGGACAATGTGTAAAATGTGTCATTTCTTTGGTATAAAAATACAGGAAAATAATATATATTAGTATTTATGTACACAAATAGAGAAACTTTGGAAATATTCACAAGAATTTAAAAATAGTGGTTACTTAAAACAGGGGTGCTGAGGAAATAAACAGAAGGAAGATTGGACAAGGAGAATTATTATTTATTATTATTATTACATATTACATATAATAATAATAATATGATTAATAATTATATTATATAATAATATAATATATTATTATATAACATAATATGATTATTACATATATTTTAAAATTATTTAACTTTAAATTTTAATTATTAAATCATGTGATTGTATAATCTTTGAAAAACAGTAAATTAAACACCAATAAATATTTACATATATTTAATAAAAGAAAACAGACTATTCTAATATAGTCCTGGAGTTTTAAAAATAAACAAAGACTGAGTCACGTTGTGGGGAAATTTCCAAGAATACAGTTCACACTGAGAGTTCCCAAAGATAGCTTATTTTTATTGGGAACAGAAATTCTAACTGGCCATGGCTTTAGAGTACAGGGTCAACTGTGTAAATTTACAAATAGCCAAAAGGGATGTGTGTGTACAAAACTCTGGCCACAAAGAGAAAACAAGGGATCAGAAACCCTCAGAACTGTTTAAATACACAACCACACATACAGCTTCATTTCCTAGCTTTTTAAACTCTTGAAATGTTTATTTTTTCTTTCCATTATAAATTAATGCACGTTCATGTTTTAAAATGGTAATTACAAGCATGGAGACGAAAGAAAATAAGTCTATCGTAACCAAAACGTGATCTTCATAAATATTTCCAGCCTTTTTCCTCTTCCTTGTTTTATTTTTTTAAAAAGACTTTATTTGCTATGTTCACAACAAAACTGAGCAAAAGATACAGAGATTTTCCATAGACCCCTGACCACCCCCATTATGAACATCCCCACCAGAGTGGTACATTTGTTTTAATTGATGAAACTACCTTGACACGCATCATCACCCAAAGTCCACAGTTTACATTCGGGTTCACTCTTGGTGTTGTACATTTTATGGGTTTGGACAAATTTATAATGTAGCCATTACTGTAGTATCATACAGAATAGCTTCCATGCCCTAAACTTCCTCTGTGCTCTTCCTGTTCATCCCTCCCTCCCCCACCTCTGGCAACCACTGATCTATTAACTGTCTCCACAGCTTTGCCTTTTCCAGAATGTCACATATAGTTTGAATCATACAGTATGTAGCCTTTTCAGATTGGCTTCATTAACTTAGAAATATGCACTTAAGTTTTCTCCATGTCTTTTCACAGCTTGATAGCTCATTTCTTTTTAATGTTGAATAATATTCCATTGTCTGGATGTACCAGGGTTTATTTATTCATTCATCTACTGAAGGACACCTTTTTTGCTCCCAGGTTTTGGAGATTATGACTAAAGCTGCTGTCCACATCCATGTGCAGGCTTTTTGGGGGCATAAGTTTCAACTCTTCCTTGGTTCTTATACATTGTTTTTTTAAAAAAATAATATTGTATTACAATTTTGCATCCTTCTTTTTACTTAATCTACACTTTCCATATTGTTACATCCTCCCACTATTCCAGTGAGAAGACATGCCACAGTTTACTTAGCATTTCCCCTGACATCTAAACATCTAATTTGTTTCCCAGTTTGATATACAAATAACATTGATATAAATATATTCGTGCATAATGGTTTTCCATTCTTAGACTTTTGTTTTTGGATTCTTAGACCTGGAAATACTAGTTCACAGAGGAGGATCATTTTAAAGGTTATTCAACACCCACTGTCAAAAAAAAAAAAATACCCACTGTCAAAATGATTCCCGACAAGTTAGTACTACTTTATAGCCTCTTGGTCAATGGATGAGGGCATTTATCTTTTCATCCTTTTTAACACCAGATTTATCAGTTTAAAAAATTTCTCACTTAATGAAGAAAAATGTGATATCTCCTTTCACTTGCATTTCTTTGCTTGCTAGGAGGAACATTTCCCGTGTTTGTCTGTGTTTCCTTATTTATGAATGATGTATGGACACCTTCTGCTATTATTTATTAGGATCGTGAGTCATTGTTATAGATTTGTTTGCATCTTTGACATCAATCTGACATGCTTATTGCAAACGTTTCCTTACTTTTGAATTCTGGCTTTTTGTTAAATGCATGGTCATTTGTTTTTGCTAAAATCGTTTGATAGTTTCTTTTTGTCTATTGCCTCTGAGTTGGGATTATCCTCCCCAGTTGCACCTCACACCCCACAAAATCAAATAATATTTCCCCTTCCTTGTCTCTTCTCTTGGCTTTAATTCTTTAGCTCTTTAATATAAAATGAAAATTTTGAGACATCGTAAACGTAGGCCATTATGCCCAGGGCTTTCAGTAAGCTGAAAAAAGATCTGCTTTGTCATCACCATTCTCCTTGAAAACAGTAAAACTGCACTAAACTAAATTTAGTTCTACTTTATACCTCAATCATGAGCACTCAGATACAATGAGTCACCACAGTGACATATGATAGACAGTTATTCCCTCAGAATCTTAACGTCTCCCATTGAGCCAGCAGGGCTGGTAGGAATTTTTGACAAAGTCCGTCTTATGACTCACTTCCGAGAAAAGTTATTCTACATCTTGGGTTGCAGCAGGGCTGTATTTTGTGTCTGACACAAGGGAGTGGGCATTGCTGGAGCCAGTCAAACCAAGGAAGAGAGAAAATAGGCCGGCAACTCCAGCTAAATTAGAGAGCTGTGTGATTGGAAAGAAGTGCTATTTGTGGGGAACAGGGCTGTTTTTCTGGCTCCAACAAGGGTGGGGCAGGAGGCGCACATGTGGGACCCTTGTTGTGACATGTACAAAGTTCCGGCCTGGCCGCCTCTCATAAGAGTCTCTGTCCCACAAAGACTGGGCACCTCTGCTCCGTGGCACGTAGTGGCTGGATCTAGCAAACGGGCACTGGACAGGGACAGAAAGCCTGCACTAAATCTACTTCCATTCTGACTAGAGAGGTGATACAGGACAAGTCACTCACTTCCCTGGGCCGCACCCCCCAACCTGTAAGATGGGAAGATGTACCCTTGCTATCTATCTCACAGGGTTATAGTTAGGGTCAGATAAGAAAGCTCAGCCTAAATTAGATGGGGCATGAAATGGCTAAATAGCATGGATCCTAATCTCCAGCGTGTAGATGCAGTAGGGGAGTAGGGGCATGTCATGGTGTTACCCAGGGAAAACAATTTTGCTACTTGGGTATCTCATGATGCCATGTCTTGGCCCTGAGGGGAAGCACAAAGTTCAACTTAAAGCTTGATCAGAAAATCTTTCTGCCGAGGGAGCACAGTGCACCCTCCTAGAGCCACGGATGTAG